TCTGTTCTGCAACAACTACCCATTAATTGTATAAGTCCTGCTCGTGTTCATTTTCCCAAAATGCAACACCTTGAATTTAACCAAATTAATGCCATCTGCCACTCCTCAGCCCATTGGCCCAACTGATCAAGATCTCTTTGTCATCTTAGATAAACCGTCTTCACTGCCGGCTATACGACCAATTTTTAACTGGCCCAATTCTCATTAAAATTGGCAATTTCTAGTTCTGATGGAGGGAAGATTAAATCTCTGGTTGGGATAAAGGTGGTGGAGAGAGCAGAGAGAGAGATGGGTTGGGGTGGAGGTGAGCAGGAAACAGGCAGCAGGTGTGGTTGTGGCGTCTGGATAAGCAAGTTGGGAAGACCGATAAGAGGGCGTTCACCAACGGGGACGTCAATCACACTGGGCGTAACCGCCGAGCCTCGCGTGTAGGGGTCTGTCTATCTGGATTGGTGTGCCACGACGTCCATCAAAAGATAGGCCCCGCCTCCCCAGCGCAGTCCACCGTTGAGGGACAAGAGGGCGGGATCCACAGTGTACGTCAATCAGACTAAGCGTTATCCCGAATGGACAAATGGAGCAAGGTAGTGGGCGGGCCTCTAGTTACCATTGGTCACGATGTACGTCTATCAAACTGTACGCCCGCCTCTCCTTATATAAACACGCTCGCTGGGCTACCGGCCACTTTCTGCTGGCGATCAGTGAAGGTCTCGTTTCTGATTGGAGCAATAGAACGCAGGATGGGGCGGGGCTCTTCTCCTGATCGGATAGCGGAGGCGTCCATCGAGCGGCAGCCCCGCCTCTCTTCTCCGAATATGGAGGAGCGGACAGCAAGTTTGGTCGGAACGGGCAATTTAAAGAGGAGGAGGAGGAGGAGGAGGGCAGCGAATTAGGTTGCATCGTGAGGGGCGGGGAGGAAGAAGTTGAGGGCCGCCATCTTGTGGAGGGTTGGCGGCTCTTTCCCGGGGACCACCTTTTAAAAACACTATCTTCTCGGCGTCATCTCACGTTGTTTTCTTTTATTGCTTGGGGGAGGCTTGAGGAAAGAAGGGGAGGCCTGAGGAAAGAAGGGGCCGTCCTCGGGTTTCGGATGCTCGCCTCCGGAGCGGGAGAGCGAAGCGTACCCAACCCGTGACCGCCGCCGTTAACGCAGGTGAGGTCGGCCGCCCCGAAAATCGAGGCCCAGGCTCCGGGCAGGACGGCTAGGCCGCGCTCTCTTCGACTTTTAGGTTTTTGTTGCCGTCATATGCGCCTGGACGCAGTGGGGAGTGTCATTTTCGCGTGCAGACCGTTACCATACGAGTGAGCCAGGGTAACAAACTATACAGTATTATGGTTGCAGAGAGAGATGTCAACATTTAAGAAATTTGGTCACTTCTTTGAATCCTTGCCCCCTTTTCTATTTCCCCCCTCTGCCGACCTCACTTGCTTTATTTCTCCTGTTTAACTTTTACTGATGATCTCCCTGCTTTTTATTTAATCTAGCTTATTCCAACTTCCCAATTGTTTTTTGTTTTGGATGCCCCTCTTTCCTTAAGACAACTTCATTTAGACACAATGAGGATGTCCTATGTCAACATGTCACGCTGCAGTCACTTCATCCACTCCTATAGGAGGTGCTGTGGGTCCCAGGCCAACTTGCTTTGTCCCCTGACCTAGGAGTTCTGAGATAACAAGGTGTAGAGCTGGATGAACACAGCAGGCTAAGCAGCATCATAGGAGCAGGAAAGCTGATGTTTCGGGCCTAGCGTTCTCTGCAGTGAGTGTTGACATGGGTGCTGATGTGGATAGTTAAAGTGAGCATTTTAGGGTGGGGTGCCCCCTGTGGTTATCAAGCCCCCCCAGCTATTTCTGATCCTGCTTTCCAGCACTTGGCCCCTGTAATATTGAACTGGTTTTATTGTCACATGCAGTGAAAAGTTTATATGCTGCCACTTGCAGTGCCATCTTACCACAAATGAATGTGGACACAGCTTCTTTAGTTAGATCTTCTCGAATAGAGAAATAAAATGTCCAGTGTCTGCAGAAATAAAAGTCTGGAACACCAGTCTTCCAACCCAGACCGTGCTGGCACCTAGCCTCCAGTCTGCACCAGGCTCTGCTCCAGACCACGCGGGGCTTCACCTTGGTTCACGTGGCAGGCTGCAGCAATCTTCCAGCCACAGAGGCCGGGAGGCAGGCAGGCCAGGAGTCGCTGGGGGAGGGGTGGGGAGAGATGGGGGGAACACGAGGAAAGAAGAATGGATGCAGTGGAGGAGCTTTGGCTGAAGCATCCTATTCTGCCACCTTGGTGTCCTTTGTCCATTATGGTGTTTCAAGCGTGCATCAAATGCAGCTTGATATCTTTATGGTTTCTGGCATCTTTCAGGCAAATGAGTTTGAGGAGCTGGGTGGGGTGGGGAGGAGAGTGAGACTCTGAAATGGAGTGGTGGGGATTGGTCAGTGAGGTGGATAGGTGGGAGAGAAGATTAGACAGGTTGTCAGGTCAAGGAGGTGGGGGTGAGTGGGAGGGTTGGACATGGGATGGGGGTGGGGAGATTTTAAAACTGGTGAAATCAATGAAGCTGTAGGCTTCTGAGGTGGAATGAGGTGCTGCTTAAATCATAGAAACTGCTGCAGTGTGGAAACAGGACATTTGGCCCAACAAGCCCATGCTGCCCCTCTGAAGATTGGGATTATATTCATTGGAATTCAGAAGATTGAGGGGGGATCTTATAGAAACATATAAAATTTGAAGGGAATAGATAAGTAGAGAGGATGTTTCCACTAGCAGGTGAAGCTAGGACAAGAGGGCATAGCCTCAAGATTAGAGGGAGCAGATTTAGGACTGAACTGTGAAGGAATTTCTTCACCCAGAGGCTTGTTAATCTATGGAATTCCTTGCCCAGTGAAGTAGTTGACGCTACTTCGGTAAACGCTTTTTTAAAAAAAAAGTAGATTTTTTTGAACAATAAAGGAATTAAGGGATACGGTGAGAACGTGGGTAAGTGGATCTGAGTCCACGAAAGGATCAGCCATGATCTTATTGAATGGCGGAGCAGGCTCGAAGGGCCAGACTGCCTACTCCTGCTCCTAGTTCTTGTGTTCTTGTGTTGTGAAGAGGATCCTGCCTAGACCCATTTCCCTGCACTTCCCATGTCTAATCCACCTAACATACCTTGAACACGATGGGCAATTTTAGCCTGGCCAATCCACCTAACCTGCACATTCTTTTTACTGATGGAAGGGGTAATTTTTCTCCCTCTGTGCCACTCTGAACTTTGCACACTGCATTCAGATCCTTCTCCTTCTCTAAGGAAAACAGCCCCAGCCAATTTAATCCTCTAATCGCTCAATCACCACCCCGGCAGCATCCTGGTCAAACTCTTCTGCACTCGATATTTCTCTGGTCATTTTTAGACATGTGATGGCATAGCCGTAAAGGCTGTTTTTTGAGGTCAGTCCATCCATAAGATGGAGGAACCGGAGTCAGCCATTCAGTCTCAGGTTGACTGCCATTCGGTGAGATCTAATCGTCTTCAACACTACTTTCCTGCCTTTTCTCCCTGACCTTTGATTGCCTTACTCTTTTTAAAATAAACACTCTCTCTCTCCACCTTGAATAGCCTCCATAGCCCTCAGTGGTAAAGAACACCACTGCTTCACTGCACTCGGAAGAAATTCCTCTATTTGTCTTAAATGGGCAACCCCTTATTCTCAGATTATGCCCTCCTAGATTCGCCCACTCCCTCCCCCTACTTCAAAGTTACACCATTCAGCTTATCTTGTCTTTTGCATGTTCTGCCTATATTGTCCTGCAGTCTGTCACTTTGTTCACTGCATTTTGAGTCTTGAATCATTGACAGACGTTGAAACTAGGCTTAAGTTCAGGTTAAAATTGTTACAGAGATAGTAGGAACTGCTGATGCTGGAGAATCTGAAACAAAAAGGCGTAGAGCTGGATGAACACAGCAGGCCAAGCAGCATCAGAGGAGCAGGAAAGCTTGACGTTTTGGGTCTGGACCCAAAATGTCAGCTTTCCTGCTCCTCTGCTGCTTGGCGTGCTGTGTTCATCCAGCTCTACACCTTTTTGTCTTGAGTTCAGGTTGTTTATTAAAGGAGTGATGGCTGTAGCACTGATTGCTGGCGTGTTGTTCCCTCCAAGCTGTGCAGACATTCAGGGTCTATGCAGACCAATCAGTGTGCCATAAACCACATCGATGCATGGACTTCAGAGGTTGGGAGAATTTAGGGCATTGTTTGAGAACAGTACTAGGCATAATCTCTCTGCCAGTTCAAGCAGTGATGGAGAGCAATTTCTTCCTCAGGATATTGGATCTGTGGAATACTTTCTAACAGGCTTAGAGACTAGGTTGCTCAGTATTCTCAAGGCTGAGATAGACCGATTTGTATTCGGGAAGGGAATTGAAGGTTATGGGGGGGAAGGCAGGGAAGTTGAATTGAGGATGATCAGATCAGCAATGGTGGGGCAGATTCAAAGGGCTGAACGGTCAGCTTCTTCTTAGGTTGGCCCTCATCCTTTCCTTTCCAGAGCTGAGGGGTGACTTTAGTTTTATAAAATCAGAGCATTGTGATTAGTTGATGTCTTTTTCCCCAGCGTAGGGGAGTCTAAAACTAGAGGACATAGGTTCCAGGTGAGAGGGGAAAGATTTTAAAAGGGGCAACTTTTTTTACACAGGGTCGTGCACATATGGAATAAGCTGCCAGAGGAAGTGGTGGAGTTCAAGTTTCAGAGCAGCCATGATCTCGTCGGATGGTGGAATAGGCTGAAGGGACTGAATGGCCATCTGCTGTTCCTAATGAATAGAATCAGGAATTTAACATTCATCTTGGTGGTGATGACCAGGACTGCCATCATCAACTGTTTTAAAAACGCTACCTGGTTCATTAAGCAGAAGGAAATCTGCCTTCCTTACCTGGTCTGGCCTATGTGCAACTCCAGAGACTCAGTTGTCATTGGTTCTTGACTGTCCCCTCTAATTACATCACCAGGGGTAAGGGCTGGGTAACACATGCTGGCCTTACCAGTCTACCCACACTGTTTCAGAATGACAAATTTTTCATAATTTTTTCGGTCATTCTTATCGTGACTAACTGACATGAGTAATAACTGTAAGCAGAGTTCCTTGTGTCTTCACTGTAAATGGAGACGAGAATTAACAGTCTGCGTGGGCAGGAGGGCCTGGTCATCAGAGGGACAGGTTGAAGAGAATCGGCTGAAGAACAGCGATGGAAAACTTGTTCTCTTTTGTTGCAATCTAGCGTGTGCTGTCTGCAAGGGTGGTGGGAGTAGATTCAACAGGAGCTTCCAAAGTGGAGCACCTTTGGTGGTGGTAGTAGCAGTGGGAAGGACTGTTCAATGGAGTGAGGAAGGGCTCAGGCTGGAGAAGCAGAATGGTGGAGTCCTGAGCTGTAATGTCATATAACTTGCTTGACATATTCCCCGTGGGCGGTGATTTGGTTTATATGCAGAGGGTGTTGGGAAGCTTCAGCCAGCTGCACTGCAGAGCTGAGTTGACTCAGATTTGTAACTGCCCATGACAGTTGATTTGGAGAAGTGAGTTTGGAATCACAAGTGACTTGATTGTGATTTATTGTCCCATGTTTTGTTACAACATAGTAGTGTTGTACAGTGCGGCCACACTCCAGCCCCATCTTAAAACACAAAAGTAAATCAAAACAAAGAATATAAAAGCAGAAGAATAAAGTGTCCAACTTCACAGTCCTCGAGTGCTTTGCCATGGGCCTGGTGCTGAGGCATGAGTTCCTTTGTTACACTGCTACTGCTGGCATGGAAGTCACTACTCTTTGGCAAGGATGGCGAAAGACCTATAAAAATCAAGAAAATTCTGGGCAAGATTTTTAATGTTTTGCTTTGTTGAGCTTTAGTTGTGCATTAAAAGTAAATAGTCTCGTGAGCGAGAGGGTCGTTGACAATGATGTCAAAGCATCGAGACACAGGCCTCAGACCTGCACCTGTAGCACATTATTTGTCTGATGAGTTCACTTTCTGAACCCATCTTTCCCCAACTGCTGTCTCTTCCCCCGCCCCCAGCTGTTCTTATCTAATGTTAACATCCTGATTCCCACTCCAGCCAAGTTAATTTAAATCATCCTTGCTCCACAAGTGCAGTGATCTCAGCTCCTCGGTTGAGATGTAACCCCTGTCTGGCCTGTCCAGGGCCCAACTCCCATAAAACCATAAGCAATAAGAGAAGGCATAGGCTATTTGGCCCCTCGTGCTTGTGCATGATCCACCATTCAATAGGATCGTGGCTGATCTGACACACCTTGTGTCTGCTTAGCTGTGCTTTCCCTGTAAGCCTTGATTCCCTGACTGATCAAGAATCTAGCAATCTCAGCCTTAACTACACACAGGGACTCTGCTGCCACCACTCCCCCAAACTGCTGTCTGCGTTTCTGTGGCATGAAGTTCCAAAGACGCTCAACCCTCTGAGAAAAGACATTCCTCCTCATCTCAGTCTTCAATTGGTGTCCCCTTATTCTGAGACTGTGCCCTCTGGGCCTAGACTGTCCTGTGAGGGGAAACATCCTCTCAGCATTTACCCTGTAAAATCCCTTGAGCATCCTGTATATTTCAATGCGATCACCACTTATTCTTCTAAACTCCAATGCGTAGAGTCCCAACCTGTTTAGCCTTCGCTGATAAGACAAATCCCTCCATATCCGAGGTCATCCTAGCAAATCTTCTCTGAACAGTTTCCCATGAAATAATTTCTTAAGGGGACCAAAACTGCTCACAGTAGTCCAGCTGTGGTCTCACCAGCACCTTGTATAGTTGTAGCAAGACTTTCCTTAGTCTTGTACTTCAACTTAACTAGCTGAGTGGACCTCATGGTCAGCATGGGCATGGACCAGTTTGGGCTGAAGGGGCCTGTTTCCATGCTGTATAACTCTTGACCGCCCACCTGTTGAAATCAGGGTCACTGTTCCATTAGCCTTCCTAATTGTGTGCTGCTGTATGTGCTAGCTTTCTTGACTGAGAAACATATGGCCTATTAGTTTTAATCTTTATATAGAACACATAATCTAGACTGTCTCCTATACTGCTTTTGATTGTCTGTGATGGGCCCAGAAAACACTTCCCAGAGTATCTCTTTACCCTTTATCGACCCTTTTTAAATACCTGTGTGGGAGTGTACATCGAGGGAAGGAATCTGTCGATGATACATCGATCATTTTGAGTGAGAGGCAGGCTTGATGAAGAGCTGACTGCTCCTGCCCCACTGTTTATAGAGTCAAGAGTCATAGAGCACATAAACAGATCCTTTGGTCCAACTTGTCTGTGCCACACAAACGTCCCAATCTGACCTAGTCCTATTTGCAAGCATTTGGCCCATATCTCTGTCAACCCCTCTTATTCATATACCCCCCCATCACAAAACACCCAGCCTATTCAGCCCGTCCTTATAACTCGAACACTCCAGTCTCTGTAATGTCTTTGCAAAACTTTTCTGCATCGTCTCAAGTTCAAAAACGTTCTTCCTATAGAAGGGCGACTAGAATTAGATGCAGTATTCTTAAAGTGACCTCACCAATGCCCTGTAGAGTTGCAACATGACATCCTGACTCCTGTACTCAAATGTTCTGCCTAATGAAGGCAAGTGTGCCAAATGCTGCCTTCACAACCCTGTCTACCTGTGATTCCATTTTCAAGGAACTATGCACCTGTACCCCTAGGTCTCTTTATTCGGCAACACTTCCCAAGACTCTACCATTGCCTGCGCAAATCCCACTCTGATTCGCCTTACCAAAACGCAACACCTCATATTCATCCAAATTAAACTCTCTCTGCCACTCTTTGGCCCATTTGATCAAGGTCCTTTTGTACTCTGAGGTAACCACCTTTGCAACTACACTACCTATTTTGGTGTCATCTGCAAGCTTATTAACCATGCCTCCTATATTAATGTCCAAATCATTTACGTAAATGACAAATAGCAGTGGTCCCAGCACCGAGCCCTTTTTGGCACGCTGCTGGTCATCGGCTTTTAGTCTGAACAACAACCTTCTACCACCACCTTCTGTTTCCTACCCTTAAGCCAATTTTGTATCCAATTGGCTAGCTCCCTCTGGATCCCAAGTGACCTAACCTTACTAACCAGTCTACCATGCAGAAATTTGTCGACCACCTTGCTGAAGTTCATATAGACAACTTTGCCTTCCTCCATCTCCTCTGTCACTTCAAAAAAAACTCAATCAAGTTAGTGAGACATGATTTCCCACACATGAAGCCATGTTGACTTTCCGTAATCAGTCCTTGCCTTTTCAAATGCATGTAAATACTATCGCTCAGAATCCCATCCAACAACTTATTTGCCACTGACGTCAGTCTCATTGGTGTGTAGTTCCCTGGTTCTTCCTTACAGCCTATCTTAAGTAATGGCACCACATTAGCTAACCTCCAGTGTTCTGGCACCACACCTGTGGCTTTCAATGATGCAGATATCTCAACAAGGAGCCCAGCAATCACTTCCCTCGCTTCCCACAAAGTTCTGGAAAAACCTGATCAGGTCCTAGGGATTTATCTACCTTTTAAGCATTTTAAGACCTCCAGCATTTCCTGTTCTGTAATATGAACTTTTTTTTTCAAGCTATCAGTATTTATTTCCCCAAGTTCTCTAGCTTCTGTCCTTCTCCATAGTAGATATTGACACGTAATATTTGTTTTGTATCTCACCCCTCTCCTGTGGTTCCAACATAGACGCCCACATTGATCTTTAAGGGGGTTTATTCTCTCCATAGTTACTTTTTTGTCCTTGTTGTATTTGTAGAATCTCTTTGGATTCTCCTTAATTCTATTTGCCAAAGCTATCTCATGATCCAGTTTTGCCCTCCTGATTTCCCTTTTAAGTATACTTCTACTGCCCTTATACTCCTGTAGGGATTCGCTGAATTCCAGCTTTCTATACCTGACATATGTCTCCTCCTTTTTCTTGACCAGAGCCTTAATTTCTCTAGTTATCCAGCTTTCTTTACAACTACCAGCCTTGCTCATCATACTGAGAGGAACATACTGTCTCTGATCTCATTTTTAAAGGCCTCCCACTTCGCAACCATCCCTTAACCTGCGAATACCTTCCCCAATCAATTTGAAAGTTCCTGTCTAATACTCCAATTTAGAGCTTTAACTTTTTTTTTATTAGTTCTATCCTTTTCCATAACTCTTTTAAAATGAATAGAATTACGATCACTTGCCCCAGAGTGCCCCCCGCCTCCACTGACACCTCAATCGCTTGCCCTGCCTTCTTTCCAAATAGAAGGTCAAGTCTTGTCTCTTCTCTAGTAGGTGCATCCACATATTGGATAAGAAAGTTTTCTTCCTGTATGTTCGGCAGACTGGGTCTCTCAATAGTGTTGTCATGTCAATGGGTCTTTTTCTTTCTGTCTCCCTCTCTCCCACCCAAACGTTGCAGAAATGGCTTCGGACATCGGTGGACAGCTGGGCGTACCGGTGACTGGGAGAGCTGGAGCAGGGACACAGCCACAGTCCAGTGGGGGCATAGTGTCCCGAGCACCGAAAAGGCATCCAGGGTAAGGTTGATTGGATGTGCCGCTACATTAAGAGCGGGAGCTTTTATATGAGGGCATCTGGGCATGGGTTACAGTCTGGAATCTCATTGAGGGGTTCGTGGTGGTTTATATATACAACAGCATACCTGGGAGTGAGTTACAGTCTGGAATCCAATCAAGGGGTTTGCAGTTGTATGTAAGTAGAATAACAGATACCTGGGAGTGAGTCACAGACTGGTATCTAAATTGAGCAGTTCAGGGTGAGTTTATATATAGAATAATAGATATCTGGGAGTGAGTTACAGACTGGAATCTGATCGAGGGGTTCGGGGTGGTTTATATACAGAATAACAGATACCCGGGAGGGAGTTACAGACTGGAATCTAATGGAGGGGTTCGGGGTGGTTTATATACAGA